ATAAAACTTTCCCTCTTCCTTTAAATGAAGATACCTGGGGATTCAGAGTACTCTGCTAGTACCTGTGCCTCACTGACACAACTTACATATTCTTAGGATTCAGGACTTTGAGTTTATTATGTACTGTATATAAAAGAGTAATTTACAGTTCTCTTTTTACTATTTATAGATTGTATCTGCTTCAGATTACAATCAATAAGATTGTAAGCAACTATGAAAGTTACCTCTTCGTGTTTTTCAATTTTACTAAGTGTGACAGTCCTCGTCTTCATAATGTAACTGTAATCTTCTTTCATCTGCTCCAGCTGAGTGGCTTTCATGAAAAACTGAAGGAAAATATATAACAAATAATTAACTCAAGAGGCCAAATAAAGGCAAGTATCAGTGAAAGTAACCTAAGATTACTTACATTAGCAGCCAGCATGACAAAATTACATGGAATATACCTACAATGAACAGTGGTGACACTTGACTCTGTGCTTATTTGAATTAGTAGTGTAGCTCTTTGTTAGATCTGTAAGTAGCAACTTATTAAAAAACTACTCAACCATATACAGTATACTGTATGCAACAGAACAATAATTGTTCTAAACAATAACTATTATTTGCAGGATAACTTATAAAATAGAATATATGATTAAAACAGCATATAAGTGGCCAAACAGCAACAGTTGAAGGCTGCTCCTGTCATTGTCAAGGGCACTTCAACTCTTTACTGCCTATCAGGACTTGAAATTCCCACCAGTAAAAAAAACTATGAATCTGACTGGACAGCAATGAAACGTCAAAAGACATTAGAGTGTAGAATCGGTAATCACTGGCTCATATTACTAACAACTACTTTCAACACAGGTGCAGAGAGACATCTCAGGACTTCACAGGAAGGCCCATTTTCTACAAATACTGTTGTTTCACGATGAAAACGTTTCTGAGTCATCAAAGTAATCATTCCTACATTATATGAGAAATAAGAACTTCTTACTTTTGTTATACAAAAACAAAACAAGCCCCAAAGGTTTAAGTTGCATATTATAATTATGTTTTACTGTACATTGTGGTTATCACAAGATGCATCAATATAACATTTAAACTGTCAGCAAACAACATTACACCCTTCATTGAGAAGTGTGTGCGTTATCAATGTCACAGCCCTGAGGTACCACATAATTCATTGACAAAAAATGAAAATATAGCTAAATGAAAAATAAACTGACAAGTACTTAACAAGTAC